CTGCACTGTGGCACTGGGCATGAGTTTTAGTGCCACCGAGCAAACTGTGTTTTTTTAATGTTTAAACGTATTTTTGTTTTCGCCATTAGTCGAGCTCCATTTGTACATTACATCAACCCTCCCAAGTGCTTTGTGGAGGAAGTAGAAAACCTAAATATTTAAACTCTTGGGGGAAAAAAATAAAGAATCTAGCCACTAGATTGCATTGGCTTGGGAGTAACTATATGCTGGCTTGGAAGGGGAAAGGGGAACTTGGGTTTATGTTATTCTTTTCATGCTAGGTAGCGAAGCTACCGCCCGTCATAAAGGACCGTTATTATTCATACAGCCACCATCCTAGAAGCGCAAGGCGTGGCAATGAGTTCGAAGCATTATATTATTGCTCCGAAGACAATAAGATTGCGACATGATCGGATAAGAACACACAACAATGAATCACATAGCGAGAAGCGTGAACGCGACAGAGTCCAATCCCAACAATTAATCCACCAGGTGGATGGATGGAGGCTAGCGGATGTACATTTTATGGTGGGCAGTAGCTTGCGCCACCTATGCTCCATCTCAGTAAAACCGCGCAACACAGCCAAAGCTACAGGGAGAGAGTGTATCCCGACCTGTCCAAAAGGAGGGAAAGGAGGAACGGGGAAAAACCCAGTCGTCCTGTCCCGTTCCTTTCTTCCCTCGTCTTGAACAGGTTGGCACACGCACTCTCCCCTGTAGCTTTTGCTGTACTGCACGGCTTAGCAGAAAATGGTGTTCGAAGATTCTGAGAAGGAAACAATGCGCGGATTAGAGTTAAGAAAAAAAAAAAAAAAGGCTGGGAAAAAAAACAGAAGCCACATTAGGAACAAAACAGACTTTGGGGGATCCCAATCTAGGTCACTGCAGCTACATAGAGCCAGTAGAATCTTGCTTCCTTGGTCGAGGGAATGCCTGAGTTTAGGCGAGCTCGGGCAAGTATTTGCAGACAAGAGCCTCCTGAACCAAAAATTTTCTAAACTGGTTCATTGGCCCAAATCCGAGAAATAGAAATATTGCACCGCTCTTTTAATAACTCTTTCCCGCATCCTTAGCCCTGCACTGAGCAAATTGTTCATTTACGGTAAACAAACCAGTCGACCTTTTACACTCCGACTATCTTTGCGAAGTTTACACCTTCCCGCAACACATCTTTCCTGCTTCTTTTTTTTATTTTTCTTATTTATCGTGACTAAATCCGCGAAGGCACGACGTGTCAGCCAGGCGGATTGTAAATACGCGCGTGGGCAAAGTTATCTTGTACGCGATAAGGACACCGGAAAAACCGGATAAATCTTATGTCCACATCCTCAGGGGCGCCAAGAAAGAGTTATAGAATGTCACGACTTGGGGCCGCCTCCTGCCATATGCCGCTGCATTCCAACTACCGTCGCTTCGCAAAATGCACAAACACGAAAAACGACAAGATTTACACATTGTTCATCAAATCAATCAATCAGCTTTTGCACACATCAATGTACAACTTGTCACTTTTTGCGACAATGTTCCGAAACAGAGGTGCGCCTCTTGGCACGTGTCTGTTAAGCCATGGTCGCCCTACTAACATGAAATAAAGAAGACAGCCTTGGTAATTCAAAGAACTGTCTGCAGAAATGTTCGAAGCATGCATAAATATGATCGAAGCTAACATGATTGTAACGTGCGTGAGGCGTGTGTCCACAGTTGACTCAGTCATCTCATCTGCAACGAACTCCGCATCTTTCGCATAATGAATGATTAGTGTGCGTGCATGTGCGTTTGTCAATGAAGTTTCACATTATATTTGACATGCGTCCGCAGCAGTGTTCGTAAGCCGCCGCCGATGACAGGAGACGCAAGTTTTGTTAATGCGAAGGGTTAGTGCGCTTAGAAAACTAACTGCTCTTATATATATATATATATATATATATATATATATATATATATATATATATATATATATATATATATATATATATATATGCGAGGAATAGTTTGTTATAGCTTTTCTTATGAACCTTACATCCATTTCTTTTCAAGTCGTAAAGACGACCTTCGTCCGACCGAGAACGTCGACTCAGAACGAAAGGACCGATGAATTCGAATACACTCACCCCGCGATTGTCTCATTGAAACATCGGTATACGCGCCTTCCGGTTACGAAACTCTTTCGGCGTACTCCGCATATCTCTCCGACCGGAAGTGACGTTGCCCGCACCGTAAAATGTCAACCACCACCTTCCGGCCGAAGCCCGGACTTGCGCACGACCTCCAACGCTCGAATGAAAACCTCGCAAGTGTTCCTCGTTGAGCCCTCCGCAGATCCCGGATGGGGGCAAGGATGAAAAGCCAGGCACATGCGATCGTTTCGGCGGTCTTGAGTTCCGTTTCAACTTCCGTTGGACCGAAACGGAGTCTCCACGCCCATCCCAGCCAATCCAGCACTGTGAACCTATCCGACAACTCCGCGCGTCACCGCGAAGTTGTCGCTCACGTGACAGTCGCACTGCGTTGAATTAGCTCCGCTGGCTACCAGTCTCTAGAGCGGTTCATCCTAGGCTGAAACGGAATCCATAAATAATAAACGCGGCCAAAGCTAATTGGATAGGCAACGCGAGCCGTCTGCCGACGATTAAGCCTTATCGAGAATGTAATCGAATAGATCGTTCTGTGGTGGCCTTTTGGTCAACGCTTTCCTTTCTGGCTGCGCGGATGTCTGTCAGCGGAAATGGGGCCAACCGTTTTTATTTGGTACATATTTCTACATATTTCACTCTTTGAGTCCTTCCTAATTGGAGGAGCTCGGTGGCGGGCCACGAGTGTTCACTTCGAAGCGGTTTGACGCGTACGTCCTTATGGACCCAGAGTTAGTATAATAGCAAAAATGGCTCGTTTGATAGCAGAATAGAACAAAACAGTAAAGTGTTCGGCGGTAGATGCCAATCATTTGTAAAAAAGCGCACTAAAAACACAATAAGCCCGTCAAAAATAAATAAGTAAATAACGCGCCGCTTGCCGTTTTTTGGGGAATTGTGGGTATCCAATGTATATCTGCGCTCGGGGACCCGGTCCGCTTGCGGCTCGGTTCGGTGCAGTCGACGACGAGGTGCTCTTACAAATCACTCGAAGCAGAGGAAACAAACCGTCCAGAACTCGATTGTAGTTGGCATCCAACAAGGTGAGTTTGTGTGAGCTCCATATATTCGGAATCTAGTAAAGATCTGTGCTTTCCGAAATCGCCGTCAGTCTTGTCGGTCACGATGGAGGGTAATTAGGCCTCGAACGTTCGGCTGATGTGCTGGTTGCTTTCACGATAATGTTTACTTGCTGGAGAGTACTACGCCTGTCGTAGGAGTAGTTGAAGTAGCAGTATACGATAACACGTAACGGCAGGAGTGAAGAATGATATCTGTTTTCGAGGGCATACGTGTAAGCCTCCGTGGCGTTCACGACCCTGACGGCCGTACAACTAAGGTTCCGACGCCCCATCGGGCGCCGTAGAAGTGGCCGATGAAACGAGCAGCGACTAAATGTTGTCGATGAAACGTGCGTCGATAAAAGGTTGTTGATGAAGCAACACGGACCAAGCATTGCCAACTCACAACGCTCCAAACATATATGACAAAATGCCGACTTAAGCCTCGGATCTCAAAAAGGTCGAGTCCGAACGCCGTCGTCTTGTGGACGCGCGAAGGTATACTAATCGACTAACCGGATAAACCTCTTGTCCACATCCTCAGGGATGCCAAGAAAGTGTTACAGAATGTCACGACTTGGGCCGCCTCCTTCCATATATATGCCGCTAAATTCCAACTACCGTCGCTTCGCAAAATCCACACAAAAAGAAAACGGCAAGATTGACACATTATTGACCAAATCAATCAATCAGATTTTGCACGCATCAATGTACCACTTGTCGCTTTTTGCCTCAATGTTTTGGAACAGAGGTGTGTCTCTTCGCACGTGCCAGTCTTTGTTAAACCGTAGTCGCACTGTTAACATAAATTGCGAAAGACAGCCTTGGTCATCCAAAGAACTGTCCGCAAAAATGTTCGAAGCATGCATGAATATGATCGAAGCTAACATGATTGGAACATGCGTGAGGCGTGTGTCCACAAATGACTCAGTCGTGGCATCTGCAGCGAATTCCGCATCTTTCGTACGATGTATGATTAGTGTGCGTGCATGTGCGCTTGTCAGTGCAGTTTTACATTATATTTGACGTGCGTCCGCAGTAGGGTTCGTAAGCTGCCGCCGATTACAGGTAAGTTTTGTTACGCGAAGGGTTATTGCGCGAAGAAAGCTATAGCTGCTGTCCTTTTTTTTTTTTTTTTTTTTTTTTTTTACAGATTCATTTTTGTTTTTGTACAAGCGAGGAATAGTTGGCGCACCGCCCGTACATCGGAATTCCCCCAGAATGCCATTATGCCGTGCGGGATCACGTGGGGGGGAACCGGACGTTTCGGTACCGGACATTTCGGTACCGGACGATTCGGTGCGGACGTTTCGGTACGCGGTCGTTTCGGTACACGGTCGTTTCGGTACACGGTCGTTTCGGTGCACGGTCGTTTCGGTGCGCGGTCGTTTCGGTACGTGGTCATTTCGGTACGTAGTAATATCAGTACCGGTCTTTTCGGTACCAGTCATTTCAGTTGAATGCGCCGCTGACCTTGACCTGCCCTGCTGACCTATATATCCCCGTCATGCATACACCAAAAACAAGGAGTGCGCCTTCTTTTTTTTTTTAATTCGTACTTGCGACGTTTTGTCTAGCCTCTGGTTATACATGGCTTCAATGAAGTGATGTCATTCAAAAAACTCTTTGATGACCACCAGAGTAGAAAGGAAGGAGATCCCTTCTTAATAGGATCCTCTTTTGTGCCTCCCGGATTTGCACAGACGTCGCTATTCTCCCCCCAGAAGATTATAGAAGATTAACCCGTTACTCAAGATTTTTACAAAAGCAGCTTCCCTCTCCTCCTCTTACATGGTGGTGAAAAGTATGCGATGTGAAGTCGGTGCAAGCCATGTATATAAGGGGGTTAGTTTTCCTGTCCGTCATTGCCTGTTTTCGCGCATCGGGGCTAGATCTTCGGCGATGGCTTCCTTTTTACCGAGCAAACGAGGAGGACTCAAGCTTTTATTCGATGGGTTCGAATACGACAAACAACGAGAGAACGGCGACAAGGTATGTGCGGTCTTATATTTCGTAAAAAAATACATGCTGTATGACTTGCATTTAAATGCTACCCACTTAAGCACGACTTCTGTAGCTATCAGTGAACGTTGATATTCAAACACAAACTTTTCTATGTCGGCTTACACTGCCAAGTACCCGCTATTAGAAAGAGTCGTCCCATCTAGCTTTCACGATGCAAACTTCTTACTTTATTAAGACATATGCAAATACAAAATTTGCCACGAAAGAAATATTTAATTTACATCTATATTGCCACCCGCAGAGCGCAGAAAGCAACACTTGGTCACGGTCTCCTAGAAGATTCCTGTTCATTCTCGCACCAGAAGTAACTTTCCCTCGGCTTTGTTATTCTCGAAAGTGCCAGTTCATCCTCGCCCCGAGCGCGCGACGCTCGAGCCTTCTTTGTCAAACTTTCGAGATAGTGACGCACGGTAGATAAGCAGCTACCCGCGACCTTGTGGAGTCAGTCTCGCTAGCGCTCTGTAGTGCCGCCGAATCGCCGCCCGATTTTCTGCTGCCTCGACGCTCTTTCGTTACTTATTTTTGTTTGGCACAAGTTCACCAATTCAACCTTTATCCTTCAGTTCACTTTTCGGCTTCCCGTCAACTTCATTCGTGACAATATTAAGACCTTCCATGTATATGGCTCCTGCAAGCGGATACTAATGCATTGCATGACGACCTTGCAGATCTACTGGCAGTGTAGTCGAAAGCTCGAATGTAAGGCCCGAGCTCACACCATCAACGGAGACGTGGTCAAAACGGTGAACGACCATACACACGGGCCATCGCTGCTCGAACAAGAGGCGAAATTTGCTTACGCCGCCATGAAGGAAAGGTCCCAACAGACGGAAGAAACTAACCAGTGCATCGTCGGCAATTTCGTGGAAGCAACGTCTGCGGAGTCACGGTGCTACCTGCCCTCCCAAGCAACCATGAAAAGAAGTCTGAGGTGAGTTGGAGCAGTTAATTATCTTCGATAATCAACTCATTATTTGTAGTTCTATGTAGAAGTGAATGTCTTGCACGATTATTGTTTTTATGCATGTGTAGAAAACGGGTCCCTATCAAAACGCCGAAAATCAAGAGACCGAATTAGGAAAAGGCCGAACGTCAGTACACCGCAGGATTGAAATGCCGAAAAATTTAAATGCCGAATAGTCAAAATCTCGAAAATACATAACGATGAAACCCATGTGACACGAGCCTGTTTAACTCGTTCTGCAAAGACACGAGTATCAGTATATCAAACTGATGTAAAATTTTGTATTCTTCTATCTGTCGTAAAGGTAGGCGTATCAGTAGGACAAAACAGCTCTCATTAGCCAGCAAAAAAAAAAAAAAAAAAAAAGCAGTGATGCCCAGTGTTCAGAGTACAAGAGCAGCAGCAATGTGCGGCAGTAATCATTTTATCGATGGAGCGATCAGAGGCCAACCCCGCCGCTCACAAAGCCAGAAGCAAAAGTTGCGCGAAAATCATTTGGCAGCTGCTCTGGGCAACCGGGACGATGTCAACGTTCTAAGCTTTCTTTAAGGAATTGCACACAACTTATCTGTCTAAAATGCAATAAACACGGAATCGCTCTGCTATGCAACGAGATATGCAGTAATACATTTTTCCTTTTTTGAAGACTTGAACCATGCGAAGGGAAGCTACACTTTGGGACCTTTCAGGGCTATTAGAAAAGAGGGCGAATGAGCGCACATTGGCCGGCGGAACTTCTCCCCTAACTTTGATTACATTGCCAAGAAAATTTATCGTGCCAAGAAACTTTATATTTCTTTATAACTAGGTGATGTTTCGGCATCTTGAAACTTCGATGTTTTGACTTTTTGGTTTTTCGAATTTTTGGTATTTTCGGCTTTTTGAATCTTCGGTGTTTTAAATTTCGGCATTCCGATAATTCGGCATTTTGATTTTCGGCGTTTTGAATGCCACTCGTAGAGGACATTCCTCTATGCAGCGTTTTAATTACATTAGAGAGTTTTAGTAGATCGTTTCAAAACCTCCGATAGCCCCGATAACGATACTATGCATGCGCAAGGGAGGCGGTGGCGGAGTATCGGGTATCGTTACCGGAGTCATGAGGACGATTTACTAAAAATCTATATTATGTACAGAACAATTTATAACTGAGAAGCGAAATCATCTTAAAGGGAAACGGAAGCGGTTCTGTATCAAAAAAAAAAAAAAAAAAAGAAAGAAAAAAGAAAAACATAATTTGCCTTCATTTGGCCTCCGGAATCACGAATATCAAAATTATTTTTCAATTTGGTGCACGGGGGCTGCAGAAAATGTTTTAAAGTACCGTTGAAGCCCACCTTCCCGGAGCGTTACGTCATATTCAGAGTTTTCAGAATCTCCGCTATCACGCATCTTCAGCGCCTATCAAAGGTGTGCACGCGCACTCTTGCTATTTTCAGAAAGGTCAGAAAAAGACGTCACGACTGGTGTCAGTGCTGGGGAAGCTTTGCAATAGCACGCGCTGTCCACACGAGCGACACGCGCTTGGCGACCCAAAGGTCTGCATATGACGTCACGAGTGGTCAGAGAGTTTTCGTGTTTTTTCGCGTTGAATTGCAACTTCGGGGAAAACAAACGTGATATTCAGATTCAAGGGATAAAAATACTCTAGAATTCACTTCTAAATCGGTTTTTTTTTTTCAAGAACATCTTTAGCTTCCCTGTAAGTCGGGGCGGGGCGGTCCTGGGCTCGTGTTGGCGTAATCGCCTTCTCTTTCCTCGCTGGCTGATCACTGCACATGGATGTAAACGATGGCGGATATAAGGGAAAGCAGGAGTGCTCGCTTGGAATGAAGAGCGTGCTGGTAGGGGTAAAGTATAAATAAGGGAAGAACATGAAAGACGAGGATGGACAATATGCCACCCTCCTAGCCATGAAACACACCTCTCCTAATTCAACAGTAGTGGCAATACCTTACTAGTATACTGTTATCTCTTTTCGTTTCAAGGAGACTTCGGGCCCACGAGACACGGCCTCATCCGTTGCCCTCCCGCCTGCAGGACGTCGTGATTCCAGACGAATACGCCGTGAATAAGGATGGAGCACCGTTCCTTCTTCATGATTCCGGTGCGACTGACGCAGAGCGCTTCATTGTGTTCTGTAGCCCAGACATGCTGGCGCTGCTAGGCTCTTCACGGCAGTGGTTTGCAGATGGGACCTTCAAAGTTGCACCTGCTCTCTTCTACCAGCTGTATACAGTTCACTGCAAGGTTAACGGCGCGGTCATCCCTGCAGTGTATGTTTTGATGAGGTCTAAAACAGAAGCTGCATACACTAAGCTGCTCTCGGTTCTAAAGAGCAAGTGTGCCGCTGCTGATCCTTCCACCGTTCTACTGGACTTCGAACAAGCAGCTATTAACGCATTTAGGAGGGTGTTTCCGTCTTGTCAAGCTCTTGGCTGCTTCTTCCATTTGTGTCAATGCGTGTACAGGAAGTTGCAAAGCGAGGGTCTTCAAGAGTCGTATCGGGTCGACGGCGCGTTTAACCTGATGGCACGCATGATCCCCGCAATTGCTCTCGTACCCGAAGGAGATGTCTTTGATGCCTTCGAGGCGTTATCGACGATGCCAGGATTTCCTCCGGAGTTGCTACCGGTCTTGGATTACTTTGAGGACACTTTCCTGGGACGTCTGACAGCCCGCGGCCGAAGGGATCCAAGGTTTCCAGCCTCTCTCTGGAACCACCATGCAACCGTGCTCCGTGGCGATGCAAAAACAACGAACTCTGTGGAAGCGTGGCATCGAGGGTTTCAGACCCACGTTCAATGTCACCAGCCAAGCCTGTGGAAGTTCCTGGCCGTCTTGCAGAAAGAAGACGCCCTGAACCTGCACCGCCTCGAGCGTGTCATCATGGGGGTTGAAGAGAAATCGGCGAAAAAATATAGAGACTCCGCTTCTCGGCTTCAGACGCTTGCGGCGCGCTTTGCAAGAGCGGGCATCATCGGCTATCTGAAAGGTGTAGCTAACAATGTTTCGTTTTAGCATACCGTACCATTTTCGAGATGGTCATGTTATTAAAACTGTGTGCCTCCAATGACTTTCATTTGTTTCTCCACGTCATTGATAATGATCGTTAATCCTGGATAAAATTATAGCACGCCTAATACTTTCTAAATTGGTTAGTTTCTGCTTGTAACATGTATGTATGACAGACAATAGAACTGACAAATACGCAAGTTCTCACATTTGCAGAGAACACGCCCGTTTCCCTCCAGCACAGCCCTCGATGTTTATATCAGAAATTGCGTAAATAACATTAGATATTATGTATTTATAAGAAAATAGATAAACTTGTTAAAGTGTTATCTTTTATCTTGAATGTGAGCAGATAAAGTATATCGGCCAGTAATATTTAAATTGGAAAAAAAGAAAAAAAAAATACCTTCTGGCGCTCTCACAACCAAAATTTCCCAATGCACTGTTCGCCGAAATTTTCGGTACCGAAATGTCCGGTACCTAAACAACCACGTACCGAAATGTCCGGTACCGAAACGACCGCGTCCCGAAACGACCGCGTACCGAAATGTCCGCACCGAAACGTCCGGTCCCGAACTGTCCGGTACCGAAACGTCCTAGACCCCACGTGGGGTCTGAGCGATGCATTGTGGGAATTTCCGGACGGGTCCATTTAGATCGCCAGGATCGTGAACACTTCGAATTATTTTGGAGTCGAATCGCATTTGGAGATTTGTTAAACGCCGGATTGGCTGCCTACGCGTTCGGCAATAAAGTTAATTAACAAACTGTTTTTTGCGTTTATGTAAAACAGCAAAGATTTATAAACGCATGGTCATTTTGATACACCAACGACCGGTTGTGACGTCGCGTCATCACCGTTGGCGCTGATGTCGGCTTGGCGCATGTGCAGACGCTTAGTACACGGAAATTTGGTTTGTGCGCATGCGCAGGCCTCACAATAGGCCTCGACAGAAACGATCAGGAACACGTTCTCTCTGTTCAAAAAACGTCTGAACAGCCTTCCGCGCGCATGTCAGTCACACATTTCCGAACACTGGGTTTTCTGGAAACGTTTTATTATGTGTTAGAAAAAAGAAAAAAACATTTCAAATGGATTGATTTGGAAGCTGTACTCACGAAGCGTTATTGGCGAGTATTACTTCCTGAAGGTCGCGAGAAGATACAAAAGTTAAAAAAAAAAAAGCAGAAGAGCGTAACTATTGTGAAAACAACACTTAGAAAGAAGAAGGAAAATATATCAGAAAAAGGCGACGAGGAGAAAAACTGGACTAAAGAGGGAGAAGTTATAATAGAACGGAACTAACAATAACGGTAAGTGGGGGAGGACGCCCACCCACAGCCTTTTATGCTCTGGACCAACCAAGCGAAAAGAGTGTCTTTGTCTTGAGCGACCAGCAGCCCCCCAAAAATGTTACTCAGGCCAGCAAAAAAGAAAAACAATGTATGTGGTAAAATAAAAAAGGGTCACCCCTCTCGCAATACGCAAAATAACTAATTTATATATAAAAAAAAAACAGTAAAAAAAAGAAAAAGGTCTAATCTCGACTGACTGTTAGGCTTCCGGGTCAGATAAGAGAGCAGGAGGCCGGGGTGGACAATACACCGGATGGATTAATACACCGAGAGACGATCCCTCGCGTATGACTTTGCGTCGGGTTTGTCCAGCGATTCCCGCAACTCTTTGAAAGGTCAAATCACGACGGAAGACCAAAAAATAAAGCTTTCTTCGAGCGTGCTATGCTCGCCCTATTTGCAAAAAAAAAAAAAAAACGATTCGTACGTTTTCTTTTTGTACGGGAGCGTTTCAACAAGCTAAACAAAACCCAGAGCCTCGTCTCCTATGTTCCCGCTTCTTGCTTTTGCCCGAGCCCCGCTAGAGCGACAAACAGAAACAACCGACACCAACGCAGTGCATGTGCACGCGATGAAGGTATCTTTGGCAGGCTTATAACGTTGGCTTGCAGTCTTTCGATGCCCGTAAAGTTGGCGCGATCGATGGAATGCGCGCGGTTCGTTGCCCATACAGCCCGGACTACGATCCACCCCAGCGAGCGCGCGCTCGAGAGCTGACGACGAAACACATCACTCCTGCAAAAAAAAAAACAAAAAAACAACAACATAGTACGTTGATTTTGGGACCATTATTGCAGCATAAAGGCCGGTTCTCACATGCAGCGAAGCGCTGATGTAGCGCTCCTCACGTGCCGTCAGCTACTTATCGTCTGCCATGAGCAACAGTTTTGACGGTGCGATACAAAGCTGGTGAACGCTCCCGTCAGCACGCGCTTAGCGCGAGGTAAGCGCTATGCTTGGAACGCTCCGCTGCATGTGTGAACAGGCCTTTATGTTCCCTCTCCGCGAAAAATTGTCATTTTTCGACTACTCTTATTTGCTTTTATCATACACAAAAGCATGCTCATTTTGTAATAACACCGTTTGCAATCTAAACGAAATGTCACGTTTTCATTGGTCACATGTCGTCCTGGCTCCCGGAACAATGCTCTTCCCATCGCCGAAAACGACCCCAAGTTCAAACATTATTATTTTTTTTTTAGGGAAATCTTCGTGCATTGTTATGATTTATGGATTTCTAGGATGCTTAGAGCCCGCAGAGTGAGTTTTCGCCATATTTAGGCGATCTAGGAGCCTCCTCTCCTAATTGCGCTAAAACAATCAACACTAGAACGAATATTTGCATCGTCATCAAACCATACGTATCTGTCCGTCAAGTTTATTCCAGTCATCAATAGTTTTCGAAAAAACGAATTTTTAAAAACAAATTATATGACACTGAAATGGAACAACATTTAAGGGATGCGATCGCCTTGTGCGCGTAGAAATCAATCAAACCAGGACTCTGCTAATCCGGGCATGCGGGATGAGAAGAAAGCAAGGCATCTCCCTGTGACGAGTAAAAGAATATATAAAAGGCCCTAACAGGGATGATACACTCTAAAAGAAGTCTGTGCGTCTACTTTCACGCACAACACTCGGAGAGCCAATCAACGCACTTTAGGGAGGCAGCTCAGCGAATGACGATGCCGAAAGATATGTTTAGACGAAAAAACGCAGTCTGAGTTGTGACATTAGGCAATGCAAAATTTCACGCTTGCATTGCTTAGTGTCACAAATCAGTCTGCGTTTGTTGGTCTAAACAGATGTTTCGGCATCGTCATTCGCTGAGCTGCCTCCGTAAGTTACGCTGATTGGTTCTCCGAGTGTTGTGCGTGAAAATAGACGCACAGACCTTTTTAAGAGTGTAGACAGTTGCGATTAAAACGTCAGCTTCTCCCAGTGGTGTGGCAAGTGCGAGACAAATCGACGGTTTCAAAGTTCCGAGATTCGAATTGGCGGCGCCCGCGTAAAATAAAAGGGTCTATGGATTGTGTCACCCGCGATCCCTCTTTCGATTCGTTCCATGTCAAGTTCAATACGTCCAACTTCAATCTGTCCTCAAGGCGTGACGCTCTGGGTGAAACTTGAAGAGCGCCGCGTCGTGGCGCCGATATTGATCGAATTGTCACGCCCTTTGTTTATTTTTGGCTACCCTACCCATTTGTTTGTTCGTTTCTTGATCACCGATCCAAAGATACCCTCAGTGGAAATTTCAAGCGCATAGAACAACCACAGCAACCACTAACGAAACGAACCTGTGAAAACTAGGGGTATGCGAAAAGTGGTCTAAATTGAATATTATTGCATCGTACACCCTCTTGTACATATCCTATATATATATATAAACATCGGATAATAAAAAGTTTCAGTACATTACCCGATCGATAAAAATTAAACATTTTTCAAACAGCAAAAAAAATATACACGCATCGCGGTGCGGAAATCTGAAACACCTTGAAAACGTGACGCTAGTGGCAAAATACGAAAGCTTGAGAATCTGAAGATAGCTTCATAAATAATACAAGAGAGAAATAAAATTTTTTTATGAGACGCCTAGTTAAGTTTAACATTTATCAAGCCATACTCGCATTAAAGCAAGCGTGTGTGCAAAAACAAAAAACAAAAAAAACATCATTTTTTTTTTTACGAATATAAGTTTTGCAGGAGTTCACAAGGTTATTTCATGGATTGTTTTTGGAATAAACAAAAACATGTTTTTCTGTCGTATCTTCTGATTAAGGTAACGTCACGTTCTCACACTATAGAATTTTGTCACCACCACTCTAGTATCACGTTCTCATGGAGTTTCAGCTTTCTGCGGTGCGCTGTTTATTTTTGCGGGACGAAAAACCGCGTTTCATGTTCTCGATTGACCCCCGTTGATTAGGCAGATTTAGTGGATCGTTCCAGTGACTCCGATAACGATACCCGATACTCCGACGCCGCCTTTCTGCATGAATCGTGTCGCTATCGGGTGTCGTTATCGGAGGTATCGAAACTATCTAATCAAAGTGTCTATGATATTGTTATCGGAAAGATCTACTAAAGCTCTTTATTGTACCGATAACGATACACAATACTCTGCCGGTGCCCTTAAATACGCATCGTAGTACAGTTATCAAATATCGTTATCGTTAATTATAGTCACTGAAACTTTTTTAATTGTGGACTTCCCTGGCGTCACTCTTGGCGGTTTCTCTAAACATCGAATAAGAAACACACAAAACCAATAATGTACTAAAAAAAAAAAAAAAAAAAAAAAAACCTTCTTTGTAGTGTTTTGCAAATGAACCGCAACGACAGCCGAGACGCCGCACACCCCAGTGCAGACAGACTACTCGCAACCACATTGCACACACTGGCATTTTCCCGCTAAATTTAGCGGCGAAAGGTTTCAGCCTAAGTTCAGCGGGAGGTGGGAAACTCTATATCCGCTAAACCGCGTGACGTCTCGACACCGTGATGTCTCGCGACCATGACGTTCGTGCGTATCACGAATGATCCACATGACCATAACGTCGACGTATCCCGTAATACGGTGACGCACGTGTCACGTCACGCGACATCGTGAAGTCACGTGACACGACGCCCCTTCTCTGAACACAGCCGGGGATCCGCTGCGACCGTAAGAACGTTCCGACGACTCCGATAGCGATACCCGTCACTACGCCGCCGTCATCTTTGTGTATGAATCGTACCGTTATCGGGGGTATCGGAGGTATCAATACGATCTAATAAATGTCATTAAAAACAACTGACGCAAAAAAAAAAAAACACAAAAAAACAGGGTTACATATCAACGCCTCGAAAAGTGCAGTTTCCGTCTTCGAACAGCCCCAAGTTCCTGCCGCATTTCTTTGGACCGAACCAACCAGACGAAGCAGGGAAGCCGCACGACAGGATGCGTCAGTCCAAAGCGCGCGCGTGAGCCACCGGGAGAGGAGGAGCGCGCTTCGAGGGAGAGGGGGAAAGGAGCACGCCGCGCATCTCGCGCCGAGGAAGCGCCGGCCACTCCGGCAAAGCCCGGCCGGCGTTGCGCACCGCGCCGACGAAACTCTGCCGCTCGCCGAACACTTGCACGAGGCTGACCATACGCGCGCTGTATTATGAACACCCAGCAGCTCGCAGATGGCTCGATTATCGACGAGGCGACGACGACGCCTACGACTCCGATGAACAAGCGTTCGAGCGTTTCTCTTCTAAATCGCGCAACGGGTGGGTGACGTTTACGGATGAAGTGCCGATGGAGCAGCTCACCGGGACTGTAGCGCCGCTCAACCTGCGGCTGTCCGTCGACGACCTGTGTGACGACGCCGTGTTCGAAGACGACCAGATCGTGCCCGATTCGAGTCTGTCTGTGATATCGCTCAGGGTGGACCGTATGCTGCTGGAGACGATGCCGGTGTCCGTGGCCACGAGTCAGGTCGGGAAGCTACAGGTAAAACCATCCGACGCGAGTGGAGATGACCTCTGGCTTCGCACCAGTGACATTTCTTGTTTTTTTATGTTAGCATTTATTTATTTTTTTAATTTAATTTAGCCGGATTACTTACGATTAACGGTTAATTGATTTGCTTAATAACCGAAAACAAATTTTATAAAAAATGTAGTGATGAGAAAGCAAAATGAAACAAATGTGATGATGATGATGATGATGCAATACATCCTGAGGATGATGCTAAATGTTTTTGCGGTATCACTTTAGCGAATCCCGGAGAAAAGCTCACCGGAGAAAAGCTCACCGGAGAAAAGCTCACCGGAGATAAGCTCACCGGAGAAAAGCTCACCGCAAAACCGGCGGATGCGGAGAAAAGCTCACCGATTTTTTTTTCTTTTTGTTATATAGAGGCTGTTGGATCATGCATAACATATATCAATTTATTATCATTAAAGTTCGTCAGCTTTGTCAAAAAGAAAATGTCCTTTTTGTATTATTTGCCAGGCTTATTAAGTATATTGCTCCCAAATTAATAATGGCGGGCCAGTTTTTCCTGCGGCTTACTCTCAAGGCAACTAAAGCCTAACTGAAAATTTTATGAACTTGAATAACATGAAAAAGTTCGAAAACTTATGTCTCCCTAAAACTTAAAAATCAAAACTGTAAACACCGAAAATCCGAAAGTGTATGTGCAACAACGCGATGCCTGAAATTCTCTTTGAAGCTTTTAATAACCTTTGAAAACAGGATAAAACAGTCAGTAGGATATTGAGGCTTCTTTCTTCCACGGACATGCACGTTTTCTAGCCGTTCGTGCTGGTGTTTCCGCACGTTGCCTTTGTGTGATAGTGCCCTTCTAAGGTGAGCCACTCATGACTTTCAGAGCTACACACTGGCACCGTTGTTACTCGTGACCTATATAAGAAATAGTTTTCTGTAAGGTAGCGAATAGGGCGAGTTGGTAAACGTTATACATGGTGAAAACCGCTCAAACGGCGACGAAGGAGTGAAGACAACAAACTCGACAGGACGAAGCTGTTCTCGCAACTAAAATTTTCTAAGTGAAATTAACAGAAAGAAAACAGCGTAGCCGACACTGATTGCATCAACAAATACCTACTTAACTATTAGGCACTACAGAATATTTGGAGCTGAAACGGTTCACACACCGCTATTCATATTAGCTCACAAAGAACAAACCTCTTAATTCGACAGAGCTACCGACGGCGCACCCTCAGTTGTCAATGAATTGTTGTCTTTTTTTACCGGTGTACGATGTTTTGATAATATTTTTGCGGCTTCATTATTATACAGAATGGGTGATTACAAATTTCTGAGGAATTAGTAAATATGTTTAATGACCTTCAAGAATATTACAAGAAAGAGGACATCTATATATATATATATATATATATATATTTTTTTTTTTTTTTTTTTAATGAAGTGGCGAATGCGAATTGAGTTAAATTGCCTCTTAACGCAGAATCCGCTAAGTTAAAAAAAGAAAAATCGGTGAGCTTTTCTCCGCATCCGTCGGTTTTGCGGTGAGCTTTTCTCCGGTGAGCTTATCTCCGGTGAGTTTTTCTCCGGTGAGCTTTTCTCCGGTGAGCTTTTCTCCGCCGCCCCACTTTAGCAACAGCAGGTATACGTCCCAATTGCAGACGTCCCCCCCCCCCCCCCCCCCCCCCCCCGGTTTTCCTTTTTTTTTTTCCTGTCCTTTTTTACTTTGGTCCCAGGCTTTAGCATCCGGTTCTCTTTCGATGACGTTTGCCCATCTCTTGCGGCGCTGTTCACTTTTACCTTCGTGAACCGTTATCCCCCACACAAAACTCCGTGACGTATTTTGTACATCTCGCACTCCCCGTCTTATTAAAGTATCTTCGCCGGTAAAGGGTATCCAGTGGAGATAATCAGCTTAGCCTCTTCTCTCTCTCTCTCTCTCTCTCTCTCTCTCTCTCTCTCTGCCTTTCTCGTGGTTTGCATAGCCTTCTTTCCAGTCTTCGAGTCGTAAACTTTTCCTAGTGAAGCCGCCACGCAACTGCCCAATTATTAATGAAGCAATTAATCGAAATATAAATATTTGACATTTTGCGCGGTTTCGGGTTCCGTAAATTTTCGAGCAGCGGCACAGTTTGCTAAAACGCGAAAAAAAAAAATAAATGCTTTACTGCCAAGCTTCGCGTGTCACCACAATTTTGTTCTGCCTAAAGTGTCCATCTTTAAGGGCGTAAGACGGTATAAATATCGTAATGTAAAAAAAAAAAAAAGGACTCTTATTTTTCTTATGATATAACGTGACGTATTACATGACACGCGTTTTGAATCATAAAATCTAAAAAGAAAATGACACGCATCAAGTTGACGCTTCTTCTTTATCTGACTCCCTAGTTTGTCAGGCAGAGAAATAAATGCCGATCGTGGTTACCGCGGGTGCCGAATTTAACGAGCGTATCTGCATCCCCTTACGAAGTTTCGTCCACAATACGCAAAAGTATTTCATGTTTCCGCGCTCCATAGCTGAACATATCAACAAAACGAAGAGGCTAGAAAATTATGCGGGCATGGACAGCTGAAGAAACTGAAGGAGGGGCTTATAAAGTTCATGCTTCGTGATTGGCTCTTCAGCGCTCTCATCAGCTTATTGGTCCCGAATCGATAATGAGATTCACAGAACTCGTTGAGCGTCGCATTTCTGAAGCTGGTCGGTGTCTGTAGTGTTCAGCGTCACCCCAACAATGCTTCGGCGATCGCATCGCTCCCTTTACACCAATCGCAATTCCTTCGAGTCGATACCGAACAAAATGTCGTCACTTTTTTTTTTCGAAAACAGCTGGGAAATAAAATGAAGGGCGCATCATAAGTTTCAGTCGGTAAAGATTCGCGGGCGTGTGTTGTGCAAACCCAACCTTTACCAATGTGAATAAGCTCTGTAACTTTAACATTTTCCGTCTTGTCCATACTGACCCACGATCGAACGCAGGATGTTCTTTTTTTTTTTTTTCTTTTTAACAACAATGGCGGACGCAACACTTCAAAAAATTGTAACCTTTGCTTTCTTTTTTTTTTTTTGTTCTTCTGGGAAGTGGTTTAAGCTGGGTTACCCTGACCTTATAAGTGACATTTAGCGGAGGAATAAAATAACAAAAACATGTAACAGTAAAGAAAAAAATCATCGACGAAAGGAAGTTATTATAGTTTACTCGAGTGATTACGGCTCCCCGACATATTGCTCACGGAAATAGCGGTCAAGGTCGGAAGATGCGGAATATTCCAGTATAGCGACAAAACAATGTGTCATTTACGTGAATCGAGAGCCATCCTCATCATCATCATGGGTCGAAATAAAAGAAATAACGCCAAGAAGCCTGTGAAATCTAGAAGGTATGTCGAAGATCCACAGCCTCTTATCAGGTAAATTATAACGCGCCCACCAACGCATTCGTCTTCGTCTCTACTCTCTTCGTTCCGACTTCGTTGGTGAGATTTCGCGTGCGATTCCTCAGCACTCAGGTTTGCCCGTTTCCCATATTTTTCACCTGGTGGTATTTTAAAGTAAACGAGGTAGTAGGATCAAAACGTTACGGTTTCTGTTATTCGTGACTATACAGGAGGGGTTCGTTCAGCTTGGAAATCACGTTGACTAACGTAGAAGTTTGGGCTAGTTGGTATTTTACGATTAAAAATTAAAACAGCACAAGGACACGGACAAGAAGGTAGACGAACAAGGCGCGGACTTACAACTGAAGTTTATTCGCGCTAACATCAAGTATAAATACTGTAACGTCATGACAAACAAATGCGCGCGGCTCGTTGTTTACCGACGGTTCATAGCCTTGCGTTCCCTTTGTTTCTCATGACGTTACGGTATTTATACTTGATGTTAGCACGAATAAACATTAGTTGTAAGTCAGCGCCTTCCTCGTCTACCTTCTTGTTCTTGTCCGTGTCCTTGCGCTGTTTTAATTTTTAATCTTGAAGTCACGCATCGCGGGAAGAGATATCACCCTCGATTACCGTCGGTGTGGTCAAAGCTGCCATTTGCAGCGGGTGCTTCGTGTGGTTAGAGCGGCGTCGCGGTTCGGTTCAAGAAAGCGACATACATGATGGGAATAACTGGCCTAAACGTACAAGTAAGCATTTACTTGGCTCCGAAACATAAGTAAAAATATCCTTCGCTCATTTTGCCTAGCGGCTTCGACGGACGCGACACGCGTCGTTATTTCCAAGCGACAATTTTGTCACAAATGTCTCGTTTACGGACTGGAAAACAATACCCAAGGTGAAATTTTATGATCGGTCAAATGATTGGGTATGTTTCGCCGCGTACGCGATGATACTAGAATTCGTTGTTTGGATCTTATTATCGCAAACGGGTACCGACGCTACGTCTCCGCGTGCATCGTTTTGACGCTCTGACTAGCCAATAGGGAGTTTTCGTAGACCGCGTTTCGCCCTCCGCTAAGCCCTCCGCAACGAAGCAGCCGCTACTGCGCCGGCGCGCCGATGGCCTTCACTATAGAGGTCCGGCTAGCGTATCTGGTTGCGGAGAGCGTTGCGGGACAGCGGAAACGATCTACGAAAACTCCCTAATACCACTTAGAAGCCAAAGCCTGTGCGCTGTCTTCTAAGTTATGCCGAAGTTAAGTACAGGGAGTTTCTGAGAAGACGGAAGCGTGTTTTTTCAGGCTGGGTAAGTAAACTATGCATCACAGAGAGTTCAATCTCTGTGAGAATATGACGCTAGCGGTTGGAATAAAACGCGAAAGTTTGAGAACCTGACGTTATACCTCCGTCAAAAGATAATTGAGAAAAAACGAAATATCTTTGCGAGCCGACGTCTACCTAAGCCTAATGTCGTCAAAACAAGAAGCAACATTATGGGCGCCTGTAGCATCTATTTCAGGGAAAGAAACTTGTCAGCAAGAAAGAAAACGATATTCTCTTTCTTGCTGCCAAGTGTTGCTTTTTTTTTTCATTTACTTGTGTAAATATTACGGGCG